TTGTTCGAAGGTCTTGTCGTTGCGCCGCGTCGCTGGCGAAAGCGACGAACACCTTTCGAATTCTCTTTGTAGCTTAATGTCGCGTTAATTCTTATCTGGCCTTACATTTACAGTCAGCGACGACAGTATTTGAACAGCATGGTAAGAAACGGAGTATCATTCAACAAATTGTACGCCGTATGTTATTATCTATTGAAACAAGTTGCATTCATGGTACGCATATACGTACCGTAAGAATTTAAAGAGCATTTAGTAATATGTAAATAAATTATGGAACATTCGTTGTGCGTAAACCTGCGTAACGTTCGAATACATTTGTTGCTGGCTGTGTATTACCATTGACACTGAAGCTGACAAGCGTTTAATATTAATTAACATGTTAAATTACAAAATGTGTAACGATTTTGTTCGGTTTCTCTGTATATTCGTTATAGTATTCAAGTGAAACTATGTATTTTGAAAATAATTTCGAATACTTGACGCTTTTTAGGTATCAATATTCGAAATTATAAAACTGAAGCTTGTCAATTCGACGGTAGTTCCAGTGTTAAATTTCCTCAATCCTTGCTAGGCAAATAATCTGACGAGCATATCGTTGATTATATTCGAGTCAATCGAAAAAACTAAAGAATGCAAACTCAGACGAGATAGTAAATTGAAATTCACGTGGCTGGAGATTTGCACAATAGAATACAAGTGTAGATATTATTTTCCTGATAATCAAGAAATAGAAGATTCTTATTCAACGTCAGGCACATTGGATGAACCTTTAAACTCGATTGTCCCAGAAACGGAGGATATTACTACACGGTTTCGTTCTATAGTTTATAGTTTACTGTTTCCAGTAATTTTGCTGACGTACCGAGTATCGTGCAGGAATCTGCATCGATTGCCGAAAGCGCACGAGAACAGTTATGTAACGTGCAACAGATGATCAGACTGTTTTAAACAACACACTATAGGAACATACATAGAGTATAATTGCATTGGTTACGCACTCGATTGACTATCTTCGACGGAACGCGGTATCATTCACGGTCCCAGCGTGAAATTTTAATCGCATCCGCGACGCTGAATGCGGGAGACCCCAGGGCGCGTTGGCTGGCTGCCGAGAATTTTGTTACAGAACGCCTTATATTTACGTAAGAAAGTCAGGAAAGCAAATTTCACATTCTACCGGTTTCTAGGAATACCGTTATCGACGACCGAATAAGATTTCGGTTACCAATTCGAAGCTGAATAACAGAATACTATAATTAATTGTACTACAATTGTACTATAACTGTATTATAATTAATTGGTTGTATTTCACACTAACCTTACCGTGAACCGGTCAAATTGCAGGATTTGAAATGTTACATTTTCTTTCGTTTATTTGACTTTACATCAATTTCTATACTTTCCGATTCATCAGTTTTTCAATATTCATCTTTCCTTTTGTTACTGTTTCCATTAAAAGACATATATATCATCTAACTTGTTTACCTTTATTTTCTAGCCGGTTATTTCACTGATTACGATAGAAAAAATGCCGATACGGTTAGTGTTAATCGCATTTCATCTCACGTTATATTCAGTTCCCTTCTTTAGTTTCATTATTAATCGAAGATTCGGGGCTCCCGGCCGATATCCTTCACTCCTGCATTCATCCGTCGAGAACGTATTATCTTTAATTTCGAGCTGATAAACCGTTGCACGATAAAATCAGACAGATACATCGCCATTATCTTCCTCCGGCCCCTTCCGAAACGATTTCGCATTATCGAGGAACTCTCTCTCTCTCTCTCTCTCTCTTCCTCGATTTGGAAATACCGGACGCCGAAGATTTTATTACCCGCCATGATAAATGATCGCGACGTTACCGTGTGTTACATTGTAACAGCGGTGTGACTTGTCTAACAAAGGAAACAATATCGAGATATCATTACGCTAAGCGCCATTGATAACGTTCGTCCAGATAATTGTAGTTAATCTCTTTCTTATGTACATTCGAGTTCAATTGCACACGAATGAAGTAGAAAATTCAAACTTGGTTTGAAGACTAATCGTACCGACACTTTTCCTACCGTAACCAGTGAAATAACTAACTACAAGATAAAAGTAAACAAGTTAGATAATAATCTTTTTTAGTGAAAACAGAAACAGAGGAAAGACAAAAATTGAACAACTGATACAATCTGATCATTTGACCGGTCCCCGGTACTGCTAGTATTAAACTAAGATCTCAAAATGAGTTTTAATTTAAGACTCCAAGGATCTTTTAAATATTCAATATAGATCGAACAAAAGCTTTCGTCTGCTGCAGACTATTTTTTAAAAAAACATCCTTGGTATGCGACGAGTTAAAGTCGATCGCTGCAACAGGACCGCGCATGAAACAAATAATTGACGATGACCGATTCGTGAGAGGCAATCGGCATGCTCATCTTTTCCTCCTTCGTTAGCCGTGCATTAAGACCCAGGATGATCGAAGATGATGAGTAGCGAGCGCACGGATGATTCGTGCGCCGTCCAGGAATGGTCAGGATGGAAAACAATTTTTCAACGGAATCGTCCGGGACGCCTCGCGATTAGTCAACGATTGGTTGCGCAACTGTTTGGTTATTTGCGAGGATCGATTCATCCGCAAGGAGAAGAATAGAGGATCGAGCCATCGGCAAGACCGCCGACGCCCGGCATCTTCATCGGGACAATTAACATAGCCAGTAAGCGCATGGAAAACACGTCGAACTGTTGCTCACTGTCATCTATTGTCTCCTCGGACGGTTTACATAAGAGGTCTTCTTCGTTCGGACGGTTTTGCGTAATGATCTTTGTAACAATCGTGTGAACTTCCATTGAGAGGGAACGGAGGAGATTGCGAAGAAATCTTGATTGGCAATTTGATGGTTTCGTTAGCGACGTCGAATGGAAATTGTTTGTTGCACGCGCAGTTGCTTGTTGGGCACGCTCAACTTGAGGAGCAACGCTGGGTTTCTACTAATATTACTAACATCTGTTCCCATTTTGGCGACATTTTATAATCGTCTGTCCAGGGGTACACCTGAAAAAGGCAAACGATCATTTATAGAAAACGAAGGTCCATAGAAAATGGTGGCCACAAGTTTTGACGCGCCTTGTACATCGCCGCAGCCTCGTGTTATTTTTTCCCTCAGTGTTCTCATTGAATACCGACACATGAAGAGTTTGATCAGCCCGTTAAGAGCGTATTTAATATTTCCCGGGGAGAAAAGTAGACGGAGGGTCGGTGAAAAACTTTGAAAACAAGGACCGTAGTCGGACGCCGCTATCTATTTCCCGAGCACGCCGGAACGAGAAGACTTTTAAACACACTTCCGTTGCAGAGTTGCGAACTTTCGGAAGGCGGAATAAGTTTATCAAGGAGATAGAGGCCGGGTAATACAAGGGGCGCCCGGTATTTCTTAACAACTGTGAAACAAATGCATTAAGAAGTAGGTTATGCGTTTTTTAATGCTATAGGGAAACACCGTATCGTTATACCGCGTAAATAACTCCCTCGGCCTCGTAATGCAAGGTGTTTCCTTCCGAATAAATAGAACTACTTTGGAGAATGTTTTTCATCGTTAAAAATGTTCAACCGATTCAAACGGAAACGACAAATTTCTTTAAACGTCGTCGATGCTTTTGTGTACATTAAAAGATAATGTAAGTGCATGTATACAATAGTAGAGACTGTCGTAAATAGAAATGGCAAAGTACAACCTAACGTTGGCAAAATTCAATTAACAGTACGCTTTTACAGCGAAATTCGATTTTCTCGTGTGAGCCGCGATTATTAGGACACCGTGTGTACCCTGGAACAAACGAACACGGCGTGCCGTTATTATTATTCCGACGAACAATAATGAAATTACAAGTTACCCGTGCCACGATAAATTGCTCGTTACCATCTACTCGAGTCGCAAACCACAACCGTCAAGTGGAACGATCCTCGCAGAAGTCGGGACAAATTGAGCCTCCTACGGTTAATATGTCTTACGAAAATATTCAATGTACATCATAATCTGTCCATAAACGGGATGCTTATTTGTGGCAACATAATGTGCTTATAAACACGGTGTTCGGTCGTAGAAACGCATATTTCCACGCGCAGATACAGCAAATTGCATCCTTTAGCGGTTTGGTCGCTATAAACAGTAATGCAGCTGCAGCAAATTATTGGTCATTGATAATCGACGCACATTTGTCCGCAAATATGCTGTCAAGAATCAAGAATAATGTTTGCAAGCTATAACTTATTATAAGTTTTAGACATTCTGTATACTAGTGGCGACACGTAAATGTCTGATCATGATGATCACCATCTACTTTACCTTAATCAATTATTGAAAGAAAAGGGAAACGTCGAAGATAACCCTGTAATTAGATCACGAAACGGGATGGAAACTTCCAATTAGCATCTAAGATATCGGGTAATATCAGGAATCCAGGCCAATTTGTCGTTCTCCATAATATCTCCAATCTCCAATGTAATCGTATTCCCAGGGGTCGACCTGTAATCAAACGTAAAAGATCTCTTAGGCTGGATTCACGCGTCAATAAAATCACGCGTGAACTATTGATACTGTTATTTCCTATTGAAATGATTTCTCTTTTTCCTTTGTCAGTGTAACGTAATTTCTTTTTCATTTCTGTCTGTTTGTTTCTGCGTATTTTTAACTATCCGTCGGTTCTTGCATATTTTGGACTATTAATTTCCGCGCAAATGGATCGACGAACCGATTCTACCTTTATTGATCTGATTTACATTTTGTCTAAGTATATATTAATATTGTGGTAGTAAAAGAAAGCAATTTTATCAATATTTTGTAACTTCTTTTCATTATATTATTTAAAAGACTGTGTCTAAACCTTTATGTTGCGCAATTACCTCAAGTATCGTACTTCATTGAAAGCATTATTGAGTGTGGAATTATTAAATAAAAAATTTCGGAAGTAGCCACAATTTTAATTAAAGAAAGTAATGTGGCTTAAACTAGGTAAGCACGTAAATAGACTGGAAACATAAACACAGCTCGTAGACTTGTTGCTGTCAGTGGCTCAAGTTGTCAGGCTCTGAATGTTTGCATACGACAAGATAATGGGAACATATTCGTTGGCAAATTAGGACAGAACTGGCGCCGATGAGACAGTCGGATTTTAAATGTGAACGATATATTACCCTCCCACGTTGCCGGCAAACAACATATGAATCTTTTAGTGGTAAGATATCGGGCAATCAGTATCTATGATCCGCGTGATAGATTCGCTCTTCAAAGTACAAAGCGTCTTAATCTGAAACACGTATCGGTCCTCTAACTCGTGACGTTGTGTAATTCTGTTTATCCACCAGTGCGAATTCGGTGTCATTCCATCAAGAAAATTTCAATGTTCCGTTATCACGGATTAAATCTCAAGCATATTTCTCGTTCGAAAGAACCTTGGAGGTTAATTTTTCATTCCTTCAAGATAACGATTTTGATTAATTGTACTTATTCTTTTTTTCTTGTTCATTCCACGATCAATCGGATACAGCATAGGCAATAAATCTTTGTTGTTTTCATCTGATACGTTCAAGACTTGCAAAACAGTTTTAATTTCTTTACACGTCCTAGAAAATTTATTATACGTGGACTATCGTTTTGACAAACAAACAGTAGCATTTATAAACTTATCAGTAATAATATTTACAATACAAAAAGGTGTACTTTGCCAAGAAAAATCTACGAAAAATAATAGTATTCGATACAACATTTTTAATATATTCTTTGTATAATATGAATCTCATACAGTGTATCAAAATGGCGGATGCAAAGAGGCCGGGCCCATATGTACTGTTTACTATTCAGTACTTAATCGATTATGAAAAATAATAAGAATTATAAATTTATGTATTATTTATTACAATCGTCAGGAACAATTAAAAGCTAATTATAAATCAACTCATATCAGTTTACAAGCCGAGTACAAAGTCACGAAAAGTTGACTCATTGTCAGCGAAGTCATTGACTCTCTCCGTGTCTGTGGAAACAGTTTCACTGTCCAATTACACTTCCGTCTCACACCTGTTCGTCACACTCATGCCGTGTGTTCTCCCGTTACAGTTCACGATGTGTCGAGTTACGACGTGACTGGTGCTCGACGTCGAGTGGAGACCAACGAGATGATTCATAAGGCTGAGAACGGCAATCGTCGTCCAGACGAACCGACGACCGACGATCAGTCGGAGGACGAGCGAACCGTTTACTTGATCGAGTTCGAGTCGGAGTCTAACGAGAAAGAGAATAGCCTACAAAACAAAGGGAAGGACGGACATACCGGTAAGCAGAAATTCGTTTTGCATCGTCGAATAACTCATGTAAAATAACTTTTTTGTCGATTCAGTAAACTATGTTACATATCTAGGTCCATTAAAATCCTCGCTTATACCTGAATGAACACCGACTTAAGTTAACCGTCAGAAGCTGAAAAAATGGGGATGAAGTGTTTGTAAAACTGGGTCAAAATGGATCCGGCCACTATCCGAGGGTTGAAACGATTCGAGTTATTGGCAACTGTGTTAACGCAGAAATTTTCCGCATGGGAACATTCGAATTTGTGTAATCGTTAGCGTTTCTTTTTAACGTTTCGATAAACGCTTCCAGCCATGATACGCAGCATGTTAGGTTATCTTTTCGGAATTCGTTGTGGGTTTCATTGAACCCACTGGAGGATTAATTAAAAAATGAGCATATTCTTGTCGGTATTACCAATATGATAATGATTTCAATCAAGAGTTAATCTTAACAGTTACTATTAGTATAATTACAGAAACCGTGCTATTGAATTGAGATACACGAATTAGAGTCTAGTTGATAGTTTGATGAACTCCGCTGTAATGGAGTTATGAAACTTTAAAATGCTTTATTACAGACCGCTCTATATAACAGGAAAATTTCCGTCGCTGAACGATCACTCTGTCGTATACCTTCGTAATGCAATTACTCGGATAGATGATCCTTCAATAATCCTCCAATTATATTAAACATTATGCAACCATTACCATATCAGACCTACAGAGTGACTCTGAAATAAGGAATTGAGAAGAAGATACATTTGACCAAAAAAGTTCAACCGTGCGTTCATATAAAGGAAAAGATCATAAGCTAAACAGTGACTTTTCCATGAAGTTTTATTTATATATAGTTACAAGACTGAGAATAAAAGTTAGATATGATAACGAAGAGGAACATCCCCCATCACGATACCCGGACAATCGCTTATTGCTCGTTATTTATAGTAGCGGAGTGGTTGATTAACTCTCATTGAGCTCATTAACGGCATTCGGTCTTCGATCATACATCGCCGAGTGTAATTTACATGAGAGCCCACGTACAGCTGGCTCCTGATTGAGCTAAATCAATTCCGGCATTGATTCGGTGCGAATTAACGGGGAATTTATGACCGGGAGTTAATGAAACACGTCATCCTCCACAGTCAGCTTCTTGCGGTGAACGTAGACAACAATTTATATTTATCGTTCACGCTGATCTCTATGAGCTGGGTATCAAAGGATTGAATTTCTTTACACCATTATACATGGAAATTCAGTTCTTATACAATATATTCCTCTGAACTTTATTGACGACGTTTCATCCTTTATAAACCGATTTCTGTCTATTTTAGTTAACGATGATGATCAGAACCCGCTGGACCCATGGTCAATTGTTTGGTACATCGGTTCGTTCGGAGGTCTGGTAGCGTTCTTCCTCATCGTGAGTTGCTCGGAGTGGTGTTGCCGTCGGGGTGGACGTCCGTTGACGGTGCCATACGCCCAACGGACAGACCCGATCAACGGCAGCCAAGTGGTCACCGAGACACCGCCGCCGCCGTATCATTTGTTCGCACCGCCGCCCTACGACTCCGTCAATTACGGAGAGATCGTTGACAAGGCTTCCGGTGAGAAGCTGGACATCTACGTAATCTCGGTGCCGATTCACAGGCCGGTCGTTCAAGTTCCAGCCTAGAAGACCGCCACGGAAACGTCCTCGAGATGAGGACTCGGACGAGTCGCTTATCGAATACGACACCGACTGTGTCGGAATCCGTTGACGGTCGTTCACTGATCCGCGGGTGAACGACTTCAAAATGAGAACGGGAGTGACCGATACGTACTGTCCCCGACCCGAAGAGAATCCCTCCCCGGATGTTCCCTGGAAACTGGGTCGAGGTTGAGACACCGTTTTTGACAATCGTCTGTCCCGGTCTGGATGAGGATCATCATTGTATCACGGATTCGGGAGAGCGTAAGACGAGCAACCGTGATGTTTTTCTTTTTAAACGCAGAGGAGACGCCGGATTTCGGTGCCTGACCGATTTTAGGCGGGTTTTAACGAGAGAATGAACGGGGTTCTTGATGGTACAAGCAAACGGAGCTGTTTAATATTTCCCCGGCGCGGACCGAGCGCTTGGAGAACGACAAAAAGCTTCGAATCTCGAAGATTTTGGGATGATTTCGGGGAGATCAGGAACATGTGATTCGAAAGACGAAAGGTGTACCCGGGAAAGCGATGGGAAACGATAGAACGTTTTCCGCAAATGCTGACGATAGTGTGGAGGCGAGGAATAGTGAGGAAATCTCATTGTACTCTAATCAATTCAGCTGGAATCATGATGTCTGTGATTGCGTGGGTATGAGAATCGATCGAGCGATTAGCATGCATTTCAAAAGGCTGGTACGCACTTCGAGGGTTCCGGTTAGAAAGCGAGGGAGACATAATATGATACCGTTGAGAAATGAAATGAATTCAAAATTCAAATGTTTCGAGTAATGGTACCAGTACGAAGTAACTATATGTTTTTCGTTTTTCGATGAAAACCAAAAACATATGCTGCTAGGCGTATGTATAAATTCGTTACACAGTATTCCCTCGTTAACGGTCGCACAGATCAATATTGATCCCGTTATACGTTAGATGGACACGTGTCCCTCGTCTTTCTCTCCAGAAACGAAAATTTAAGTCTCCCTCGTTACAAGTATATATATGTATACATGTACATGTATATGTATATGTATATGTATATGTATAAGTATATGTATATGCATGTATATATATGTATGTATATATATATATATATACCTCGGCAGGTACGAGTTGGTAACATATAACCAGAGGATATTGTATTTAGCGCCTCAATGTGTTCACGCGGAATATATTTTGGCGGGGATATTAAGTAGACATGATATTGCAGTACGTTGTAAAGAAGTAATGTTATCTAGTGCGTGCCAGGCTGAGTACTACTTTGTCGTAAAGACGTTACCAAGTAGGGGAGCTTTCGACTAGCAAGCTTTCGGAACCATGGAAGATCTGGCGTATTCGTTTTCCACGTTGTCATGTACCAACGTGAAGCTTCGAAGACTAGGATCATCCACGAGATATAGAAGCCATGGATTTCTTTTTAACGAATTAATCGTCCTATCACTGCCCTGCCACGTGGATTTCGATAATTCTATCATATTCTCATACATTCTTCTCTAGCCTCTAATTTAACACAAGAAACAACAAAGCAACGTACAAATTGACCATAACGGAAGATCAAAGCATCGAGAAAATACCGAATTCCTATAAGTCACTGGCCGCGACGGCAACAGCGTCATTCAGGCATATCCTTCGAACTGCCGCAATGAATACTGTATTCGTTTAACGATTCCGTAATTCGTTTTACTCGACCGGGCACGTGTGCGAGAAGTTCGAATAATCGCCTATATTGCAGCACGCGATTAACCTCAATCACGACCGTTCCCAGCCCGGCAATTGCTAGCGGCTATACATAGTGGCACGAGTCGAACGCTGTGAAAAGGAATTTAACCAAAACGGGTTGCAAGAATAACCGGATCATCAACGCGTGTCCCAAGAATGCCACAGATCGACTGACGTAAAAATGTTTGTCACGAGATGCAATGTTGTTTTGTTTTATATTCGCACTTGAAATATTTCTGTGATGAAGAATAAGCGAGGTTGTACCTTTTATTTGTCATTGTTATATGCGGAAAACATACAAGATATTATTCTGTTTTTGTCGGCATCTCTAAATACAATGTTAACATGAATGTTTCAAAGAAACGTGTATTTTGAGTGATTTGCGCAAGGAAATAAAACGCAAAGTATTTTTACATAAATAGCGTTTTGCATTCTGGGCACGTTCCACGCGACCTAACCGAATCATGAACATCATGTCGCTAGCGTATTTAAGATGCGGCATTGCAATTGTCTGGGTTATGTAAGTAAACGGGAGATTGGTTGAATATACGTCGGTGTACTCTAGGAATAGAAAATCATTTCTGTACGGTAGTAATTCGAAATTATATGATCGAAGACGTATTCTTTATTGGAAACCAATGAATGCATTTGTTTTTCGCGCAAGGCTTCGAGTATCGCGACAATAATGTTTGAGAATTCGAAGATTCGTTGGATGCGCGCGCGTTTAACTCGAGTCCCAACTTAACCAGACGCGGAATTTTTAAACGCGATTGTTTTCGGAAACGACGCCTCAAGCGAAAAACATTTATGTCTTATTTTTCTATTTTATCTATCTTCAAATAATCGATGGTCACTGCGCGATTTTTATCTTGAATTCTGGAACACTTCGTATTTGTATCGAGATACGTTAGAAATTAAAATTCACGGAAGGAGGAAACGATGCTTCATTCTGAAACTTGAAATATTTCAGCGTTCGCTTTTATTTATGTAAAAGGTTAAAAATACTTGATTGAACAAAATACTTTAAATATTTGTAAAGAATATTAACAACCACAGAAAAGAAAAGAATGTGAGAAATGTTTAAGACAAGTTGCGGTATTACGTGATCGTGAATGAAAGATACCTGCGAATCTAGTTTATTTATATTATCGCATTGATCTCCACCATTTAGTTTTAATAAATGATTAGTGTTCAGATAAACGAGAGAAACGAATTCGTATGGGTGAGAGAATAAATTGTATGTCGAATGATAGAGAAATTTATTGTAAGATTAAGTACAATGTCAATTATTCTTATTATGATTACTGTTATTGTCATCGTTTGTCACTAGTGAAGTTATTATTATCGAATTCGTGATCGCGTTCCCGGCGATAATGGGGATACGTTACGATGGATTCGCTCTCATTAAGACTTGCAGAATCGCAGCGTCGTTGCTATTTATTTTTTATACTTTTATACATACTGTTTATACGTATTCAAATCGTCTCTACGTTATCAATAAAATTTCTTTTCTCACAAAGACTATTTTAATTTGTAGAGATTCTTGAATAATCATTTACTACCTCTTAGAAAAAATATTTGAAAATCTCCCCAAAAAATGACAAAAGTAAAGTTACCAACTAAGAAAACAAAAATACATGTGTAAGTATACCTTCGAAAATAATTACAATATAATCTAACAGTTTCGACAACCTAACGCGTTTACAGTTGGGTCTTATGATTTCACAGTATAACCGTCACAATTGTCATTTCTTTTTCTCCACTTATTAAAAATCACGTGTTTTCAATTTCAAATTAATATGAGAAAGTGGAATCAATTAAATTGTGGAGGAATCATTGAAAATAATATTAAATGTTAATTGTTTTGTGACATTTAAAAATATAACCTAATCATGGATTATATAGGTGAGGTAATAGCCCTCGGAATTGACAGTGTCATTTTTGGTATATGTTTAAAGCAATTTTTCCATTGCAAAAACACAATCTTAGCAGTCAAGGTAAACACAACTTTTGTTATTGTTGTTGTCCTTTACGCAATCTTGTATAAATTTACTACTTTTTGGAACCTAACCTTATTACATGATTAATACAATACAATAATCGTTGTACAGAATTTTAACAGTGTATAGAATAATGCGTGTAATGTTTAAAAGTGCCTCAAAACGGTCAGTTTCTCCACAGGATGCAGAGTTTCACGAAGTCGGTTCAAAGCTGGAAAGTCTTCTCAATAAATGTCCTGATAACAAAATAGATTATGTAGCTATCAGAGGTATTGTTAAACCTTTAGGAGAACCATTAACTAGTATTAACAATAAAAAGATAACTGGCGTTGTTCAAAAGCTGAAAATTAAGGAACATGTAGTAGCTAGGACTACTGCTGGTTTCTGGTGCGTTTAAATATGTAATACGATAAAACATATTCTTTTAAAATTAGAAATTATTGATTTTCTTACTTCTAGGTCAGATCAAGAACATACCGTTCATAAAGTATATAATACTGTACCATTTGCTTTACAACATGGGTCTCACTCTGTAGAAGTATTAGAACCATTATCAGCAGATATTTTAGATATGGATGTAGTGTCCAATACTTTTGAACCTACTGTTCCATCTTTTGCAGATCACTTGTGGGGTTTTGTCACAGGTTAAAAACATATAATGTGTTATTGTAAATTATGGTTTTACTGAATATTTCTTGACATTAGAACTTTTTATTCATTTTAGGTATACGCCAACGTGGTTTACAATCCACAGAAGAATTACTCCGTGAAGGTGCCCTTATCACAGGTGTAGGTGAATTATCAAGAAGTACATCTAAAACACTTACGTTACAACCACCAAAGAATGGAATGCCATTTTATTTAACAACCATGTCAATTAGTTCATTACTTAAAAAATTAGATCATCGTAAAAGAACATACAGGTAAACTCAGTGTTTAGCCTTTGTAATGTATCAGTGTTCCTTATGTTATTACATTTTATTTCAGATTTTTAAGTTTGATGTTTGGTGCGATCGGATTATTAATCGGTGGAATAGTACTTCGGCGTTATTGGAAAGATAGAACAGAACAAAGATTAACAGAAGAATTGAGACAATCTCTGTCTGAATCCCGAAGAGAAAGAAGGCAAAGAGTAAGGGATACTGATCTTAGGGAGGATCAGATATGCGTTGTTTGCCGCATAAATCCTCGTGAAATTATTCTTCTTCCTTGTGGACATGTTTGCTTATGCGAAGATTGTTCGGACGACATTACAAATGATTGTCCTGTTTGTAGAACGCGAATTACACAAAAAGCTGCCGCCTATATAATTTAAGATCAGTGTGACAGTAAAATTTTTAACTTCTATTTGTAGATCCACAAGTCATAAAGAATGATCATTAGTATCAAAATGGATCTAAGAGCTTATATGTTTTTAATAAGCTTTTATTTAATTATGTGAGGAGTATAAAGAAAAATTAGAATATACAAGATATATTTTGATTTATTATTCATTTGAATATATATAAAAATGTCAAAATTCTAAAGCTTTGAGTTTATCTTTTTTAGTATCTTCATTTTCATCCTTTTCACTTGCACTACTTGCAACCGAGTTAAATGAGTCCATCATCCGCTTAACTTTATTGCTCTTCCCAATACCAAGTTTTGGTAATCCCCTGTTCAAACCTTCTAACATGATGCAAGCTTTACATATCTCTTGACTTGAAACAAATCCACAACGAGTGCAATTCCTTCGTTCTGGCATTTTAACGGTATCTTTCACTTGTAATGTTTCCCCTGAAACAGAATACATTGGTTACATATTAATTACCAATAATAATTTTGACATAACAATTATGCTATAATTTCATTTACCAGAATGTATTATATCTAATATGGATGAAGGTCTAATTCTTTCCAAATCTTTGAGGAAGGTTCTTGCATGACCTCTATATGCATTTGGTGCAAATACACATTCAGTTGAGAAATATACCAAATGTTTGAAATATGCATACATTACAATCTCTTTCTCATAGGCATACTTAAGTGGCTTACATCGTTTTATACAATCTGCTCCTGCCTATATTGTAAAAGATACATTATTATTATTAGAATGAGATACTTACATAAATTTACATTCTCTAAAAGTGACTTTTACAGTAATGATTGAAGTACATCTCTGTAGCCTTGCAATATCCCCTCGTAGAATATTCATGAGAACTGTTTCTGCTATATCATCAGCATTATGACCTGTTGCAATGCAGTCCACACCTAAGAGAGCAGCTCCCCTATCCAATGCTTGTCTTCGAAAAACACCACAAAAAGTACAATTATTTTTTTTACCTATCTAAAATAAAATGAATATTAGACAAGTATAAGTATAATAATATATAAGTATAATAAAAAAAAAGAAAGTACTTCTGCTACAATTTCATCCATACTCCACCCATATAATTCTTTGTAAGATAATATTTTTAATGGTAACCCATAGTCATTTTTATTTTGTTCAACTGTTTTTAAACTATCATCCCTATATCCTGGAATGAGACAAATCTTTTACAAAATTGTGTCAACTTTATGATATTATAACATTGTTTTTATTACATCATACCAGTAATTCCTTCATCGATGGACAAAAGAAATAATTCAATGCCATATTTATATTTCTCATTTAAGGTTTTTAATACATATGCAAGTACCGTTGAGTCTTTTCCTCCTGACGCTCCAATAGCAACTTTATCTCCAGGTTTGAACAATTTACCCGCTGTAATAGTGTAATGAATTTCAGATTCAAAAGCTAAGAAAAAACATTCTTTACATAGAGCATGTCCAGTTTTTGGTCTCTGCAATTAAATGAATTATATGAATTTAAAACATTTTTAATTAATCCTACAAATACTTGAAATAATTATTTATCTTACTTTGAGAACAGCATCTTTGCCACACTTTCTTGAACATGGAATTGGCATTTTGATTAAAAACTTATAACTTCACTGTATTTTCTATACTTTGTCCATATCACACATACGCGACAAAATGTTTATAATAATACCTTATTTAGTAACTTAAACACTCTTACATTCTTTTAATATTTCAGTTTAAACACGTGACTAAATCCTCACATAGGTTATGAATTTTAATAATAAGAATAGTCCATTTCATTGCTAGTACTCTATTAAGTTTTAATTTTATTTAAATCAAATACGCTTTTTATATTATGACACATATCAGAATCATAAAGTTTAATTAATTTATACAAAAAACTACAAGATATTTTTAATTATTTGAATGTATTTGTAGCTTATGTGTAATAAGCTTTTATAGAATTTAATCTTCTGGCTTTTCTGGAGGCGGACCACAAGGTTGTAACATTTTTTCCATAAGATTAAATCGAACGCGTGCTTTTGCTTCGTTTTCAGCAATGGCAAAGAAATTTAATAAATCATAATGTCCCATGTAAGAACTGCAAGAATCACGATGCTGATTTACAAGCCATTCGAACTTTGTTGTGTCAGCATGGCCTGTACCAATATACTTTGACTGTAAATGTTCTAACTGACTGTGAATGTTATAACGTTCCCCCATATTTTTTTATAACAAACGTGAAAACACTGCGCAAAGAACTTATTCCATATAGTCTTTTAATATCTTTAATATTTTCAGACTTATTTTTTGCCCTCCAAGTCAATCACAGATCAAACAGTAACGTTTTGACCTGAATTTATCAAATAATCAGAGTAGAATGCTTCACATCAAATGCATAATGCTGAATTCGCATGTACCCAAAATGTAATGGAAAATAAAATATTTGAAAAGCGTAATACGAAGTATTTCGTGAGTGAAAAAGCAAGTTTTTACAATACATTGAATACAAACTAAATAAATATTTTATTCGCACAAACGTTCGAATGGTGTAACTTGTGTTACGTAGTAAAATTTTGGAACAATACATTTTTTTATAGTAACTGTATACGTAATATTACGTAAAATATTACTTTTACAATATTAAAATATTGTTAAAATATGTTTAAAACGTAATACGAAAAATAAAATTTTAAGATTGTCTTTCTACAACAAAAGTTTAAGTCTATACCTGCAAGTATAAAATGCCTGGTTTATTCTTGTAACATTTACTTTTAAATATATAATTACAAATATATTTGTATTTATAAATAGTTATAACGTGTAAATTTAACGTGGCCAATTGTATTGAGTGAAACAAGTATTTAGGATTATCCACAATTTTGGTTGTTCTCCATCATATCGAAAGAGTGCAGCACATGTCGCATGTTACGTCAGACAATAATGACGTGCTAATGGTTAATGGCTTCTACTTACTGAGCTACCTTTATGAGAAAGCCAAATACAATCCAAAGAAAATTCATGAGATATGATGCATCGGCTAGTAAAATTATAAAAATATGATTGCCTGAACATTTAATTGTTACGATACCTATTAATTTTTATTAAATTTTTCTCGTGGCCTACGAAATATGTGTTGAAACCTTTAACGGAGCAACGAACGTAACCATTACACTTATCGCTACGTTGGACCCAGTCCGATGCAAAGGAACCCAACATTCAGCGTGATTTCACAAGATTTATATTGCACGTAAGTAGTAATATTCGTCATTGATTAAAAAATTTCTCGAAAACGGTAAATAACTTTCTTTTGCAAAAACTGGGCAACTCCCTTGCCACCCAGTCTTTAATAATGGCGGCTGTGCTAGGTCGACCAAAAAATTATTTTCGACAAAATGTTCCTTAAAGGAACGAGTCATAGATTTATATCGAATAAATTCTTTCACATTTACTTCTAAAATATTGTGGTTTACTCAAATTTTACGCTGTCTTTTATGCTTTTTAACGGATCATGTTATTCGAAAGTATTGTTATGTCGACTAAACTATACATGTGCATGTTCATGTGTGATTGTTATGTATGTGTGTTTTATCCATGACGATCAGTATCAAAGTATTGAAGAGTGCAGAAATAATTATAATGCTTCGAAACTTTTTTCATTATTTAATATAACACTAGGTATTAAAAATACTTGATTGTTTTTAAGTAACAGTCACATATTTCTGTACTTATTTTTAAACTAGAAATATTTGAAGATGTAATTTCATTAGTTATGGAGTTTTGCATATTATCTATGTAAATAATATGTATAATAATAATAATAATAATTCTTATTTTTATGTACTTTTAATATTATACTTTTTTAGTTCTGTTAGGAATATATTTTGTGAAATTTGTAAACTTGAGAAAGATACTAACAATATTTGGAGTTTCTATATAATTTTATGAAATAATATAATATTAATCTATATGTAATATCTGTTATTTTTAAATATTAAAATATTTGTTCATTTTTAGTAGGTGACATGCCTAGCAGTCGTGATATCGAACGAGCTGAACGTAATGGAAGATTTCGATCACGTAGACGGGACAGCACAGGTAGCGATATAAATAGACATAACTTTGAAAGTACTGATAAGAAACACAGGAGACATGGAAAAAGTAAGAGTTCTGGAAAGAAGAAGAAAAAGAGATCTAGAGATAAATCTATAGAAAATGTACCAACTGTAGCTTCTTCCATTGTTAAGCCTTTGGTTGAATACTCAGATGTGAGTAGTGAAGATCTGTCGGAACCAGAAGCAGGGGAGATTCAGTCAGAAGATAGTAGGGGTAATAGTTATACAGACGGAGAAGTACCTGAAACAGTTTTACAGAGACGTTATTATGGCGGGAGTCCGGTGCGTGCTCTTGGAGCATCACCCATTAGTCTTTCACCATCTCCACCAGTTCAGCATAGGCATTCTGGCAGACATTTTTCACCAAATGAACAACAGCCTTCAACGATGCATGGAGGTACACCTGAGTATGAAGAAGAGTCTAGACGCTATGCAAGGAGAAAAGAGAAGAAACATAAACGAGAAAAGAAAAAGAAAAGAAGTCTTAGTCCTTCATCCAGCTCTGGAAAAAAGAAAAAACGGAAGTCTAAAAGACATTCTCATAGTATGAGTCCTCATCGTATTCCGGATGAAATTATCATAAGTCCGGAGCATGAAAAACCAGTTGGAAATTGGTCAGAGTCTCCACCTTTACCACTGAAAGATAGTACTTCACCAATCTCACCTGCAACACCCCAAGAGCAAAGATGTTTAAGTGATGTTGAACTTGAAATATCCAGGCAACCCCGAAATGTAACACCTCCACCTCTTCCTCCAAGACCAACAGAATCCCCTCATACCCCTTTGTTACCGCCAAGAACAACAACGCCAGAAAGTAATAAAGTAAATTTATCTATAATAAAACATACTCCTGAAAGACAGAAACATAGTCCTAGTATTCACACTCGACGTAGCAGCATTAGTCCGGGGCCAGCAATGAGTTCTAGTCGTAGAAGACCTCATAGCCCAAGCCCACCATCAAGACGAAGAGACCACAGTCCAGCAAGAAGAAGAGATTTCAGTCCAAGTCCAATGGTACATAGACTTAGGCACAGCCCTAGTCCTTCGAGGAGACGAGAATTTAGTCCGAGTCCTGTCAGTCATCGACGTAGGGGAGATCCTGTTAGCTCTCCACCATCGAGTAAACGCCGAAGACGAGACGAATCCGACCGACGACACAGACATCATGAAAAAGATAGAAGAGATAAAAGAAAATCTAGATCAACTAGAAGTCCTACTGGAAGCAGGTATGTTATATTTAGAAGTTAAAATAGTTATATATTAAAAGTTAAAAAATTATTTACTTTTTATTATAAGTAAGATAAATTATTTTCCAGGTTACATTTACCTCTTTCTCGTTCACGATCTCGAAGTCCTGGAAGATGGCGAAAGATTCAGTCACGTTCAAGGTCACGTTCGCGCAGACGAAGTCGTACTCCAAAGAAATCTCGTTCTCCTAGCAAGTCTCACAAGTCGACCAGGAAACACAAGTCAAAAAGCCCTCGTCCTTCTAGAATACCTTCCCCTTCTCCTCATAGACCCAGACCAAGGAGTCCAACAGCGAGAAATCTCAGTTTACAAGCAAAAATTAGTGAAACTAGTTTATTTGCTGAGTTAGTAAAAGACAGAAATATGAGAGAGTTGGCATATAAGAAATTACAGGCAGCTAAAGAAAAAGCTGTTAATCAGGACGAAGTTCAAATCATAGAGGGCACCGACGATAAAGATGCCAGCAATACATCCTCTGAAAATAAAGCTTCCACTGATAATAAAGATAAATACATAAATCATAAAGACCAAGTGAAGGGAACAAGCGAAAACATGAAATCTGTTGATGTTGTGGATATTCCTGTTCCAGTCTCAGACGATAATGGAATTGCGGGAAAGACACCTCCATTGCCCATGACACAATGTTTCAGTGCATCGAACTTAATGCCTGGAGGTAATCAGCCTCCATCTGTTGTATATACTTCACCTACGACCACTACGTCTAATAATTGTCCAGTGACTGTTACAAGTAGTCCAAGTTTTCCAGCTGTTACCAATGTACAAGCACCCCCATTGCCACAATCTGATCCTGCGAACGCGTCATGTTTATCACAAGCCTCTATGCCAGTGCCTATCCCTGTACCAGTACCTGTTCTACCCAACTTATCTGTTCCACCGCCACCAATACCAATTCCAGTTCCAGCACCTAATACGGCCATGTCTAAATTCAATCCTCCTAATAACTTAGTTCCTCTTAAGTCTGTAGATCCCCCTAAACCCCCTATCGTGGCATTCAAGACAAAAAGTTTGTCACGGTTACCATTACCACCTGGAATTAATCAAAATGATTTGGAGAGTATAGACTCGCCGCCGAGTAGATCTCCAAGCCCACCTAGCAAGGCGCAAATGAAGTTCCCTGCATCAACTCCGAAACCACCGCAGAAGAAGAGTATTAAAGATTTGCCTATGCCTCCAGGTATATCGATATATTTTTATGGTACTATATGATTATGAATAATTTTGAGGCTGTTTGTAATAATGTGTATTGTTAATCTATAGTAGTTCCAGGGTCAGAAGACTTAAGTGGAGAAGATGATCCCAATGCAACACCGCCGCGTACAAAGGTCGAACGTGTTCCACCGAAACCGAAGTTGAAGAGACCAAAAATCCTTAAACGCCGAAGCTCCAGAAATTGTCACACACCTATGTCAGCTTCGGGTGGTAAAGACTGGGGAGAACGCTGCGTTGACGTATTCGAAGTTATCGCCCAGATAGGAGAAGGTACTTACGGCCAAGTTTACAAAGCTCAAGATAAACGGGCTAATGTACTTGTTGCACTGAAGAAAGTCCGTTTGGAAAACGAGAAAGAAGGATTTCCGATTACGGCAGTACGTGAAATAAAAATTTTGCGACAGTTGAATCACAAAAATATTGTCAATTTAAGAGAAATAGTCACTGACAAACAAGATGCCTTAGACTTCAGAAAGGTACTTCATTAAAATGCGTATGTACTATGGTCAGACACATTAAATATAAATCACTTTGTATATCTGCTTTTTATAGGACAAAGGATCGTTCTATCTTGTGTTCGAGTACATGGATCACGATTTAATGGGTCTTTTAGAATCTGGGATGGTCGATTTCAATGAAATGAATAATGCAAGCATTATGAAGCAATTATTAGACGGTTTAAATTACTGCCACAGTAAAAACTTTTTACACAGGGATATAAAGTGTTCAAACATATTGATGAACAATAAGTACGTAACGTGTAATTACGGACATGATACATAATTTTGCCTTTATTATTTTACGGTTTGACTTTTATAGAGGAGAAGTAAAGTTAGCAGACTTTGGACTTGCAAGACTTTATAATGCCGAAGATAGGCAGCGCCCTTACACAAATAAAGTTATTACTTTATGGTATAGACCACCTGAACTATTATTAGGTGAAGAACGTTATGGACCTGCGATAGATGTTTGGAGTTGTGGTTGTATTTTAGGAGAACTGTTTTCTAAAAAGCCGCTATTCCAGGTATGAAAATGAAATATTGAGCAAAAAGTATAGAATAATTATCCTTGGGATCATTTTTTTGCCAGGCGAACGTAGAGATGATGCAATTGGAAATGATCTCCAGAGTTTGCGGCACACCGACTCCAGCCGTTTGGCCTTCTGTGATAAAATTGCCATTGTGGCACACACTCAAGCCAAAAAAATCACATAGAAGACGCTTACGAGAAGATTTCTCGTTCATGCCGGCTCCAGCTTTGGATCTACTAGATAAAATGTTAGAATTAGATCCTGAAAAGCGAATAACGGCTGCTGATGCACTTAAAAGTGCTTGGCTAAAAAATGTTCAACCTGAGCAGTATGTTTTCTTTTTACGTTTCACTATATTTCTGAAGAGAATATTTCATTTATTCGGTTGCAAATTAAAGTACAGAGATAGAATTCTAACTTATAAGACTGTACTTTCGTCATAGTTTATTAAGGTCTTCGATTCGTCTGTTTGTAAAATATACATTTATCATATAACAAATTAGGATGCCGGCGCCACAACTACCTACTTGGCAAGATTGTCATGAGCTTTGGAGTAAAAAACGAAGACGTCAGTTGCGAGAACAACAAGAGAGCTCTGCAGGAAAGATACCTTTGCTACCTCTTCCAAATAAAGGAGGTCCCCATAAGGCTATTGAAGATCTATCAGATGTCGGGGGGTGAGTAGCCGTAGAGAGACATATTCGCACAAACTGGGACGCGATCCAGTACTGACCAGATACTAATTGCTTACACACGTAGATGGCTGTGTACTGCAGTTGTGCTTAGCATTTATTTTTTTTTCTTAGCAGAGTGCGTTGTTTTTGGAATATTATTTAAAAGAATGGAAACGTAACCGTTGTAGTAATCTTATTTCCCATCGTCCGTTTGCATGTGACTTTCAATAATGGATAAAATTAAGTTAATTTTAGTTTGATTTGCAGTCGTTCAAACACGACGATGGCAATAGTGCAGAACAGTGGATTATTATAAATACAGAAAAAATGTACAACATCGTTCTCTTAATAAGTTTTGTCATGATTCATATCTTTCAAACACAAGAAAACGCTATGAATGTACTAGTGAAACAGAAAATTCACGGCGATATGTTTTGTGACACCAACAAATATTATACGACACTTTACATCTTACGTGATTACATATTCAAACACAATGATATATGTATATGTATGTATGTATGTATGTATGTATGTATGTATATATATATATATTTATATAGATATATACATATATATATATCTATATCAATGATTGAAAAAAGTTATATGATACTAACCATCACAACACTATATTACCAGTTTTTTTTTAAATTAATATTGAAGATTGTTTGATTGGATGGGTACTGTGTGTAGACATTTACGTAAAATGCACTTGCGATCCAAATATTAATTGCCTTAGAAACTGATAGTATGAGCTTAAAAATTATAACATATTTTTTACGTCATGATATTTTCATGACCAAACATATTGATCCTAAATATGCATGTTCATATTCATTACTTCGTGAGTATATGAATATACATATGCATATATTGAAATGTATTTGTGTATATAAAGACAAGAATGCACATGTGTACAATTTTACTTTAAAATTATATATGCATTTACGTGATTCACATATTATGCACAGTTAACGATGTTCCATAACTGTATGAATGGTATACGCTCCCGTTGATAAGTTATCGGACACTTCTGTCAGTGAATGTGGAATAATATCAAATTGATCTCTGGAAATTGCCCAAATAATGCAATTTTTAAATATTCATTAATCTGTTACACTGTTAAAGGAAAATATAAATTTTATCGTGTATTAAAACAGTCCTAAATTTTTCTTTGAATGCTATAATTCTACTTAAAATTATAATCTTCCCTAGGATATCTTCTTTAATTTTCGATATGTCTTTACAATTTCTTATTTGATTAGTAGCACTACTCTTTAACTCTGTTAAGCTCTATTCACGATGGAAAGAGTAACTCAATTCCAATATCAAAGTTAATTAACTTATTCAAGTTTTTACTGATTTTTAAAAATAATTTTAGTTTTATTACAATTTGCTTTTTCTTTCCATCAAGCAAATGTCCAGTAACTTTCGAACGGTAGTGTACATATATCTAGAATATTCTCGAATGACGAGTTATTAAAAAAGAAGGAAATAAGAAATAATAGGTTGTACGGTTGAAAGTAAAAAGAGATCAGAGTTACTAGAATATCATACTGTAAATTTTTGTATTAAGCTATCATATTAAAGTGCTGTCTTGAAGCGCATGAAATGATAGATAAAATGATTGAGGGAAACAATGTGAATATTTAGACTATCTATATAATGTTTAAAGTCTTGGAGTGTAAATAGGTCGGAATGGGATACAAAGAAGAAGCTGTTGGAGGATGAAGACATGGAATACAAGGAGCCAAGACTAAAATGTGAATGTGTTACGCAAATAGTAACATCATGGCCATCTTACCATCGATAATTAATTTTATTTACGTTAATTCAGTTTATTTAAACATTCACATTTCTAGATTAGGTGTATGTTTAATTGGTTCCGCAAACTGTGTTATAGCTCGTTATTTCTGTATGTAGATAGTTTAACGTAAATTTCAATATACGAATGGCAGTTTTTGATATCCGTTTAATATTTTTCATGTTTTTTTGCATGTATTTTATATCAGCGCCATTCTTATAATGAAATTCGGAATTTAGACAAACATAATGTACTATCGTTTTAATGTAAAAAAAATATTGAATTACTGTAATATAAAATATTTACCGAAATGTCCAGAGGCAGCCGCCTAAACATTTTTGTGGACAATGAATTTCCAATGTTATTAAAATATTTTATCGTTTAATTTGTTTAGCCCCTGTCAATGTGTTTACACTTTAATTTATGAATTAAGTACCGATAATCCTTAGGAGAATCATATCTGACTATGAACACTGGGACCTTGGGGAATTAATTAAAATAACAGGCACACGATAGTGTGTTTTTTCCAAAATTTGCAATGAAGTACATGTTATTTTTCTGCTTATTCCACGATAAGCTTAATGAATATTTAATATATATACATATATGTATATATGTATATATATATTTGTTACTTTTGTGAAGAATGTGTCGAAATAAATAACATGTTGATGTTTAGTATCGCTCTATTCCACACACAGTAAAATAGATAAGTTGAAATGTGTACTGCTCCTTTCAATTGAATCTGTTACATGAAATAATGATAACAGGACAATTGAACAAATTTACTTAGTGCATTTAGATATAATTTGATTATAAGTTACATGAATTTCGTTTTTCTGTATTTAATACAAGTTTTATGCTAAGTTAAATTAAATGAAGAGTGCAATTTACAAGCAATATAAACTTCAGATATTATGAAATAAAAATTCTACACGTTTCAGTACATTGTTATGACATATTTTTAAAACTAATAGTAAAACTTATTTTATGTGTCTGATAATTTATACAGAAATTAAAGTGGTAGTAAGTATTCTCTGGTTTCAATATGAGAAAGGTATAAGGAATTTAAAAATTATTACAATGTAATGTATAATAACTGTTTGTTGCTTTAATTGTTAGAGAAAAGTAGTACTTCATGACAATGATAAGATGAA